GGTTGTAGCTAATAAACATAGCTGAACTGATTTTGCATTGTCTCTTGGAGTTCCTTGGGCTAGGCCTGACACAGGGTCTGCAAATGGGCCAGTCGCTTTTCCTGGATTCTCTTGTCTTGTTTGCGCCCGTCCATCCACATCACCAAACAGAATCATCTCCTCTCCCTGGGTTGTATTCATGCAGAAGGGTGCACCATTTCCCCCCAAACTCATCTCTGGCTCTTCCACTATAACCATTCGATGGAGTGTAACATGCAACCACGTCACCAACCTATGGATTCCTCTTTCACACCTCCACACGACAACCTAGATAGCCCCAATTCATACTTTCTAACATACTTCTTAATCCTTTCATTCATCATTAAACTTGCTCCTGGACTTCCCTACGTGGATTCATCCGGTTCACTCTGCAAGATCAGACTGCTTCATTCACATCTATTACACCTCTTCCTCTTAGTTTCCCAGATTCACAACATCTATTTTCTTTCTTTCCTTTTTTAATTCATGCTCTTTATTGTTTACTCCTCTCATATCCCCAGATCAGGAAATCAGCCTTAATTATATCCACAGCATATGTAACATTCCCTGTAAGAACAGTGGCACATATGAGAGGGGTAAATGATAGAGCATAGCTAAATCATAGAATATGCTACCATGGGGAGTAATCATTCTTTAAAAATGAGATGGATTCATGTAGGAAAAGGCTATGATCAGCTACCAGTCATGGTGGTTTATATTACCTATACTAACAGGGGAACGTACCTCTTAGTAACTATTGCTGAGAAACCTGAGCATGATAAGTTATATAAGGTAGAAGAAAAGGAATTTTTACAAGCAATACAAAATACAATACAAATACAAATACAATCATAGCAAGCATGGGATTTTGAGCCCCTCTCATGATATAGTTTATTATAAAGTTAACTACCATATTTTTTTAAAGTTAAATTATTGAGGACAAGGAACTTGTTGGAACTCGAAGTCTACATGCTCAAAAAGCAGAAAATACAATAGGCAATGAAGGCTCCCATCTGGTTCAGGAGACTTCTCCTTCTGAAGGCAAGCTCTTACCTACAGGGCCTTTTAAACAGCTTTTCACCTCCTTCCTTCTCTTCCGGATCATTTCTGCTGGCAGATTTCTGCTCTCCTACTTCTACTTTTTCCAATTCTCTAACATAGGAAAACATCCAGAGGTCAGAAAGCAGCAACGCGGGACATTTTAAAAACCGTCCCACTCAAAATACTTCTACTTAAATCATTAACTGATAGCAGGATCCTAACAATGATGGAACCTGCAACGAATGGGGCTATACACGAGTAGGACATTTGGACATGCCAAAAAGGTAAAGATAAAACTGAGGGTGGACTCGGTTGCCTCCTGCAGATCCCTGCTCTGCTGGGTTTGCTTCGCCCCGCAAGGAGAGGAAGAGGTTCGCCCCTGCTCGACTTGCTTTGCTTCACTGACCCCTTTAGGGGCCAGCTGTGGGACAGCCCAGCCCCTCGGTCTGCGGATGGTCCCAGGTTCAGTCCTGAGCATCCCCAGGAAATGGTCCCACCAGAAGCCCAAAGCGAGACCGTCTCACGGTCTATGGGAAACCAGCGACCTTGCCAGGCTGCCAGGAAGGGGCACAAAGACTCTTTGCTCTGCCCAAAGGGTGGTGCCCATGGCGGATTCCCTGTGCCACTGAAGTGGGCACCAGGCACCAAAAGCCAGGGCTGCCAAGGAGGTCCCTTATTCCTCCATCCCAGAAGAAATACCTGTATTGAATTAAGTAAATGTCAGGCCCAGCCCAAGAACAGTCCAGTTGAGTTCAGCTCCTTTATTAGTCCAGCTCAGCACACACACCCCCAGGCGCTCCTACCTCTCAGTCCTGTCACTCTTGCACTGGGTGCAGACCCCTCTCCTCCGCAGGGCGCCCTGGGACTCCAGGGCCGGGCGAAATTCCCCATCTTGCTCCTGGACACACCTCTGCAGCGAGTCGTCCTTAGCCTTCCGGGCACTGTTCCTACAGCCCAGTTCCTCCGCCTGGCTCTGCAGCTGGCAGCGCTGACCCTCCTCGTCCAGCTGTTCTACAGCTAGGCTGGCCAGCCTGAAGCAGAGGAAGCTGGGAATTTTTGCCCGCTCCTATCCCCTTGGGCAGAGGGCTGGACTAGAAGACCTCCAAGGTCCCTTCCAACCCAAGGGGTCTGTGATTCTATCCCTGCTACCAACTCACCCCCATTCGGCCGTGAAACACCCACCCCAAACGACGCGCCTCTGGTTTCCCAATAAAGAAACAAGGACAATGGAAAGCAGGGTTAACTCGGTGAATAAAACTGAACCACAACCTGCAGGCTTAAAAACGGGGAGAGCTCAGGTTCCTCCAGTTGCTGGAGGGGCACTCAGCTCTTACTCTTCTGATACTGGGTGAGCCAGTAACCTTGCCAGGCTGCCAGGAAGGGGCACAAAGACTCTTTGCTCTGGCCAAAGGGCGGCGCCCATGGCGGATTCTCAGTGCCACTGAAATGGGCACCAGGCACCAAAAGCCGGGGCTGCCAAGGAGGGCCCTTATTCCTCCTTCCCAGCATACTGGCTGGGGAATTCTGGGGAGATGAAGTCCGCCCATCTTAAAGTTGCTGAGGTTGAGAAGCACCGGGCTAAACTGATGTTGGATTTAAACTAGGATGATTACAATGGTTATTGCTAAGGTATTTGTAACCTGTCTCACATGGAACCTACATCCCAAATTTAAATCTGGCACCTGTCCAGCCCCTCCATCCATCTGATGAAGTGAACTGCTGCCGTTCCCAACGTTTCTACCCCTTATTAAGATGCATGAGTCTGAAGTGGCAGCACCCACGTTGCCCTGATGTTTTGCCTCCATAGATTACGGCTCTTCTTCTATGAAGAGCGTGATCTGGGGCTCCCTTCCTAAGGGCAAAAGAAAGACACGACCTGAACTTTTGGTCACCTGCGAGCAGGACCCCCCGTCTGGGGCTCTTCGGAAGGGGCTTCGGACTGCACAGCGAGGTCACTTGAGCTGGATTTTTCCAGCAGCTTGTTATCTGCACGAAAGGAAAGAGGACAGCAGCCATGAAACAAAGAGGAAAATAACAGCGTCCCCTAGAAAATATTACTCCAGGGATGGGTGTATATGGATTTTGCACAATTACATGTTCCGTAGAAAATTATCCGTTTTAATCTATGTACTGTTCTGCAAGTTCACTCCAGAAGTGAACGGAATTCAAGTCAAACGGCACATCTGGAATCTGAAGTTGAGTTTGAGTGTCTCATGCTTTCCACTGTCTTCCTTCCCAGGTCGCCTCCATGGCCATTTTTCCACCATTCAGTGTCTGTATCAGAAGAAATCAATATTCCCACCAGGAGTTTGAGCCGCTCCACTGGCTTCTGAGAAATCAACAGGGAAGGGGCAAGTATTTTTCAAGTTTACTTGAACACATGTAAAAAAAGGGGGTGGGCCTTTCATCATGTTGTCATGGTCGTCATCTTGACTTTTTGGACCTCCCCTGTGGACTCCCTGACCCCATGACTGTGTGATGTGGCTGTCATCACACAACACATGATAAAGAAAACTTAGCAGATGCATCCATGCAGCACGACAAGCTTGGTTAGGCCCGTGAATTGTGCAAACCAGGCCTATGGCTTCATTTATGGGTCATTATAATGCGCAAACCTAGGACATCTTCAGTAACCAGGTTAATTGTGTTGTGTGACACTGCTGACATGTATCTACTTTCCAGCAGCTAACTGACCTTTGACCTATTCTGTAATCATTTCCATTAGGGCATCAGGCTAGAAACCAGGAGACGGTGAGTTCTAGTCCTGCTTGGGCACAAAGCCAGCTGGGTGACCTTGGGCCAGTCACTCTCTCTCAGCCCTGGGAAGGAGGCAATGGCAAACCACTCCCAAAAAATGTTGCCACAAAAACTGCAGGGTCTTGTCCAGGCGGTTGCCAGGAGTCAACAATGACTTGAAGGCACAAGACAGAAAAAAGGACTTTAGTTACTGTTGATGAATTTTAGAAAGCTCTCCAAGGCACATTTGACATATCCAGGAAGAAAATCAGCCCACACACATTGCTCAATTAACAAATCAGGGGCAAGTATAATTGAATTAACAACATTCATGAACGCTGTAAGATTTCAGCTGGCTAATGGACCGAGTATAATTACTACTAGAATACACCTATTAGAGTCATTACACTCAAGGAGAATCAGCCTATTATCTTCCACACCCCGGTGTTTTTCTAAGCACAGCAAGTCAAGTCATCTTTGAGTCAAGCTCAACTCCTGGTAGATACATCCATGTGGTTTTCTTGACATGATGTGAACTGGATTAACAATGCTTTTCTTCCCAATTTTTATTTTATTTTACTTTCTGACCCTGGGATTTCCGAGTTGTCTTACAACCGGGTATGAAGAACAGCCAACTCTGTATTAGCCACAGTGATGCCACTACAAGACCATAACCGCCCAGAGTCGCTGGGAGTCGGGTGGCATAAATCAATTTGATTTGCTTTGATTTGCTTTGATTCAATTCAATTCAATTCAATTCAATTCAATTGTTTAGCTCTTTCAAAACATCCCCAAACTTCAAAGGAAGTCCAAACGGTTATTATTAAACGCCACGACTGTGATCTCTAAAGTTTATCACTATTGTACATTTTAAATACGGAGCATGTAAGAGATTTGCACACACACGCTCCCAAGTCCTGTTGCATTGCCCGTTTGAGGCTGAGATTGTTCCTGGGAAGGGTGAGTAAAGAACACCGGAGTGTATACCAATAGTAAATATAATCCCAAATAGTAAATATAACCCCAGCATCACCCAAAGTGTGAAAGTCATCCCTTGAACTGACATGGAGCGAAATTTGTTGGCTTATGCTGGGCAAGAAGGGCGCAGACAAGATTTTTGCTCTGCCACAGCTCAGTGAGAAATGCGTGAATGTGAAAAAGAAAGTCCACCGTATATTTGCTTATTTTGAGAAAGTGAATAACAAAGTGAATACGTTTGGGACTTTTGTAAGAACACAGAGCTCCAGTTGGTTGTGGAAAGTGGTAAGAAGCAGTTATGATGGAGGTAAAGAAGGAAGGGGCATGTTGCAGACCCCAGCACTCAAGGACCTTCAGCTGGTGGGGTCTAGGAAGAGGGCCTTTTCTGCCTTTTTATATAGTTTGATTTTTTAAATAAATTAATGTGGATATTTATATGTTTAACCGTTTTTGAGGTTTGATTTTGATTGTGAGCCGCCCAGAGCCACCCTCTGGGGGAGATGGGTGGCATATAAATTTAATAAATAAACAAACAAACAAATAAATAAAGCACAGCTGAGAATAAATGCAATTTCTAGCAAATGGTTCCACAA